TTTTTTTTAGAGATTTTATAAAATAAACGCGTGTGTGTGTGTGTGTGTGTGTGTGTGTGTGTGTGTGTGTGTGTGTGTGTGTGTGTGTGCGTGTTTTTTTTCCTTTGAGTGCTCGGAGCTGCTGAAGTGCGTGCGCGGAATGGTGATGCATAGTCATGACGTACTCTCAATCCACTCCGCTGGCTTGCTAATGACGTATTAATTACGCGGCGACACTTAGTGCGCGCGCGAGTGTGTAACACTGAATATTGCGCCGCCTTCACAACCTGGGGCGCTGAGTCACATTTCAATTTGCAAGCGAGCAAGCCAGCGAGCGAGAGACAGAGCGCCGGTCTTGTTTGTTTGAGCCGCGCTAAAGACCGCGAGATGCGCGGCTAATCGCCATGTTTGCCGCGCCGCCGCCATGTTTCAAACGCAGGCCTGTGGGGAGGTGGGAGGGGCTTTGTCAAGGAGACGTCACGGGCCTTGAGTGTTTTCCAAGGGGTGTAATGAACCGAGCGAAAATAACTGACGAGTCGACTGAACTTTTTGGGTGTTTGTTTTTGGCGCCGTCTTGTGATCACAAAAAAGTTTGAAAGTAAGCCACACAAATGGATCGTACGTAAGGTCATACAAACTTCTTTTTAAATGCCTTGACCTTCATCCACGCTCGACATGTTATTGTTGATTACTGTAATTCAGCTTTTCAGCCATTTGTGATGAGTTTGATGGGGAAGCTCACGCACACACACGCACACGCACACACACACACACACACACACACACACACACACACACACACGGAGTGGGGCTAAGGCATCAGAAAGAATTTCGCAACATAGCCCTTGCCACTCACTGAATACGTTGCTGGGGACCAAACGTCTTTTAATTTTGTGTTTGTGCGCTCATTAGCAGTGACTTAAGACTGTCGGCAGTGTTTGCACGCTCGGTGCTCACCAATCAGTCTGTTATTGTGTTTGTTAGCTCAGTTTACAAAGGCTAGACGGTTGGCAGCATTCGATAAAACGATGAAAAGATGCGCATGTGATGACATGGCATTAGTGAGTTCACCGTTCGCTTGTGTTAGCACAGCCATCAAGTCACAAGCTGCATACGGATCCGCATCATTAGCTCGCGCTTCCACAGCGAGCGCACAAGCACTCGAACTGAAGAAGTTTCACAGTTTTGCTTTATTGTGTTTGTTAGCAACTCAAAACATAGCGAAATGTGCTATCAGCAGCATCAGAAAGACCCTGGGGCCTGGAAACGGAGCGACTTTCAAAGGTTTCACACGAAAGTAGGCAACCGAAATGACATACTTGTAAAAAGGGCAACATTTAGCTCACGCAAGCGCCGCTATCCAGTCACCAGCTGCGTACAAAGATGCTATTCAATTGTCGTCTTCGTGACTGTTTGTTGGCTCATTAGCAGTTAGCTATGAATCGTTAGCCCGTTGTACATAAACGTCACTATTCGCGCGACAAAAAGACACTTTTAAAGGGAGATTTTTAGCTCACGCCAGGAGAACTATCGTGCCACAAGCTCAATAACGAATCCGTTTTGGGGAGAGTTTTTTGTGAGCTCGTTGCTCATTCACAGCCGAATATTCAGCCGCGTGAGCACATTTGTGCATGTCGCGTCATCATCCAAGACATATTCTTTGATCCAGTGATGACAATGTCTTTATGCTCGCGTGTTTTTAATCCAACATTCAAATGTGGCACAGAGGGGGCAGACTTAAGCTCCCTTTGTGCCGAGCGTTTAATTTTATTTATTTTTTAGCCACGGACGCTAACACAACACGAAAAAAGAAGTCAAAGCCAGCGCATTAAAATTCAGCAGCTAATTACGTCGGCGACACCCCCAGCCTGTTGAGAAAGTGTTGTGTTTAATAGTCTCTATAAAGAAAATAGCTTTTTATCTCGTGCTCATTTTCATTAATTCCTAATTGGGGTGGGGAGGGTGTAAGGGAGTGTGTGTGTGTGTGTGTGTGTGTGTGTGTGTGTGTGTGTGTGTGTGTGTGTGTGTATTATTTCTTAGATTAAAATAAACATCGCCCATCCCGTGTACAAACCCATCACACTACACGCGTGTGATAAGGACTTCATGCCTCTGTGAATAAATAAACAATTTCATCTCCACTGGTGGAATTAAGTTGCTTACAGCCTTAAGCTAAGACGCTCTCATTTGTATTTATATTTATATTTCTCTCCAAAGACTTAAAAAGCACATGCCGGCTTTGGCAAATTAACTTCAACGTTTTTTTTTTTTTTTTTTTGATTGACCTGCTTTATATGTATATCTTTAATTAGGGTCTTGTTTAGCTTAAACTGACTGATTATCGCACAGTCGTGACCTAATTACCGCATTTGCGTTTCCTCGGCTGCCCCGAGGAGCTCGCCAAAGTTACCTTTAAAAAGTCGCGTAATCGCCCCGCGTCAAGCCTCTCTTAATCCCGATAAACGTGCGCTTAGACGGACGCCGTCACATTACACCGTGTTAAGTGTTTGAGCTATGAGAAGAATGTGGCGCTTTGACCGGGCTTTTGCTGTTTTTCCATCGCTGTGAAAGACGGAACGTGCTCGCGCTGAAGCAATTATGAAACCACATAAGACAAGAAATTCAGTTTCAACTCTTAGCCTCCGATGCTTGTGTACAAACAACGCCGACGGTAGCGGTGACCATAAAGGTCCTCTTAAACCCGCTGGTTTTAATGGCAACGCTATCCCAAACAGTCCCGCTAACCACGTGAGAACATTTGAGTTGAGTTACGTTTGAGCTCCATCCCAAATAGCCTCATTTCTGACTGGACCGTTGGGTTTGGATCGCCAGCCAACACAAATGGACACGGGACAATCTGCGGCATATTCGTTCCTGTGCATCGACTCGACAACCACCAAGTGGAAGGCATGACTCTTCTGGCTGCGTTGCAGAAATCAGAAGGAAAAAGCAACGCAAGTGCTGTTGTCTGGACACAAAGCCACTCGTTTTAAAAGAAACGCAACAGCCTCTTCATTCATTCAACCCACCCCACGAACACCAATCATTGGCAAATCTGCGACTTCAGAAGGGAACAAATGAAAGTCACGTGACTGCGATCTTCCACCGCTGTCAAAACGATCGCGAAAAACATGACTCGTGTCGTTTTCAAAATCAATCGCACTTCGATGGAAGTTACGTCTTCAATTGACAGCAAGGAATGTTCTGCGGCCACGGGAAAATTCAAACGGTTTGAAAGGGAACACCTCTCAGAGTCAGGCGTCACGGGGGTCGAGCCAGGATCCTCGCCGAAAGAGAGACGATCGTCTTACCTGAGGAAGGCGACGAGGGATGCGGGCTGTCATCCTGGACACTTCCCGTCTGCGAATGTCCACCTCCGGCGGCGCTCTCCTCGGTCACGTTGGACGACCCGGGGGTTGTCGAGCGGCTGATGGACTGGGACTCGGGATCGCTGGCTGAGCCGCGGCGTTCCTCCACGCCTTGCTGCTGCTGGAGCACTTCCTCCACGCCTCGCCGGTCCTTGCCGTGGACGCGGGAGTGGACGACCATCTGGTGATAGGTTCTGAAAACCCGGCCGCAGTCGGGGCACTCCGAAGGCTTGTCCTTCGGGTTCGAGAGACCGTAGTCCACGTTGGGGCCGGTCAAGGCCGACAGGCTGCCAGGAGTCTCGGCTCCGATGTGATGCGACATCAAGTCGAAAGCCCTCGCGTCGGTACTGGCGGCCTTGGAGCCCTGCAGGGCCTCGCAGAGCTGCTTCTTGGAGCCGTCCGTGGGGGAAAAGTCTTGTTTTTCCTTGGAGAAGGAGACCACGGCGCCGGCCGCCGCCGCCAGGTCCTCCTCCTGCCCGGGGGCGGGGTGGCGCGGCTGCTCCTTGGGCATGAAAGCTCGGTCCATGGCCATGCCGCGAGCCATGATCTGCCACGCTTGGTAACTGTTGAGGGAATCCATCTCGGCCACCTTGGCGGCGGCCTGCAGGCGCTCCATGCAGCTGGACTTGAGCGGCGGCACGAGGTTGAGGCAACCCAGGAGGGAGCGCTTGTCGTTCTCGCCCAGGCCGTGGCCGATTCCCGCCGCCATGGGGCCCAGGAGCTTCCCGAGCATGTCCTTCTCCTTCATGGCGATGCCGGCCTTTGCCAACATTTGGTGCTGCTCGCTCAGACCCTGCTTGTCCGGGGAAAGGAAGCCCCCCTGAAGGCAGGAGATGTAACGGGAGTAGAGGTTGGCGTGGGCTTCCTGCGCCAGGCTGCTCATGCTGTTGATGGACGCCATGTCCTGCTCGCTGGGCTGCGGCGGCTTGCTCTTGATGGCTAGCTTGTTGAGGTGGACCTTCATGTGGTTCTTGAGGAACCAGGGCTCCTTGAAGCGACGGCCGCATATTTGGCAGCAATGCTCAAAGGAGTCCTTGTGCTTGCGCATGTGGCCCTTGAGGAACCAGGCCTGGCTGAAGACCTGGCCGCACACGTCGCAGCGGAACTCGGTGGCCATCTGCACGCCGCCGGCCGCGCCGGCGCCCTGACCCTGCGTGTTCTCCGCGGTGATGTGGGCTTTCTCAACGTGGCTGATCAGCTCCTCCTCGTGGGCGGCGGCAAACTCGCACAGGGTGCATTTGTAGGGCTTGTGGAGGATGCGGATGTGGCGGTCCAGCTCCTCGCGCTTCTTGAACTTGCCTTTGCAGAAGGTGCAGCGGAAGCCCGCCGCCGGGTTGAGGGCTTGCTCGTCCTGGGCCCCGTTCGGCTTGGGCGAGGAAGACGGCTGGGACGCCGTTTCCGGAGCGGCGAGGCCCGGCGGAGGCGGCAGGCCGCAAGCCGAGCCCAGCTGCTGCTGGAGGGCGTTGGCGCCGCTGTTGAGACCGAGCTGGGGCTCGCGCGCCGCCGCCGCCTGCAGCAGTGCGGCGCCACCGCCGCCGCCGCCGCCTCGCATCTGCTTGTCCCTCAGGATGGCTCGCTCTTCCAGCTCGTGGAGCAGCCGGTTCTCCTCGCGGACCCGGCCGCGGCCTTTGCCGAGGTTGCCCAGTTTGTGGGTGCGCAGGTGGATCTTCAGGTTGCCCTTCTGCGCCGCCCGGTGGTCGCAGTAGGGACATTTGAAGGGCTTCTCGCCCGTGTGGGTGCGCATGTGCAGCGACAGGATACTGTTGAAGCGGAAGCGCTTGCCGCACAGCGGGCACGGGTACTTCCTGTTCTTGCGGGCGTCGTCTTCGATGTCGTTCATCTGAGACATGATGCCCAGGTTCTGGCCGTTGAGGAACTGCTGGAGGTCAACGCGGCCGTTCAAGCCGCTCAGCGCGCCGGCGTCGATGTCGCGGTTGAGCTGGTTGGCCAGCAGCGCCATCTGGCTGCTGATGGGCTGGCTGGCCAGGGCGGCGTGGTGGCTCTTCTCGTCGAGGGGCGCCGCCGCTTTCTCCTCGGGGATCTGCTGCGGGCGGTGCAGGTCGGGGAAGGCGTGTCCCAGCTGGGCCGTGAGCTGGTGGAGCTTCTGGCTGATTGGGTAGCGGCCGTTGAGCACCGCGTTGCTCAGGTGGGCTTCGGCGTCGGGCACCGCCGATGACATGCCAAGGCACAAACTGGAGTCCTCCATCCTGGAAAAACAACGGCAAAAAAAGTGTTGGACAACCTGAGAAGAAAATGAGACTGTGAATCCATTATCGGAACCGCTTTCGCGGGCGTGCCGGAGTGGGGGCGGGGAGGGGGGGGAGCTCAACTGGTGGCATGGGACTTCATCTTCATTCAAAATCCCGCGCGCGCGAGGAAGACGCTCTTGTCACTTTTTTGTTGCTTCCTGACGCTTGTTATCGTATTGTCGATTGTGCTTAAGAGCTGCGTTCTTCTCTGTCTGTGAAAGCACTTTGTTTCATTGTTATTATTGTTTGTATTATTTAATGATTTTTTTGGGGGCGGGGGGGAGGAATTAAAATTTATCAAATTCTCATTGCCTGGTTTGCTGGCTGCTCGCATGTTTCTCCTGCCCATCTCCAGGGTTGGATGGTATTGCGCGTGCGTACCTAATGAAGTGTCCAGCCGCACGGGCGGAACACGTTCGAGGGATTGCAGAAATGCTGCGATTTGCCCCCAAAAGAGAGAGCGACCATTTTGGACCTAATAATTAGTCTTGTCGACGCTGAGCGAGAGCGGCGCTTAATTAGGCTACTTGTGCCCATCCTATCGGAATGGCGCCAATTACGCGCCCTAATGGAACGCGGCGATGCCATTGTGAGACCACAATTAGGACGCTGGCAGTAAATAGCGCTTTAAACCGACAACAAGAGCGTGCCCCGCTATATCTGTTTTTCTTTCGGGGTAATTCGGAGAAGAGAATTCAAAGAAACCAGACAATGTCACTGCTTGGGGAAAAATGGCTCTTGAAACGGTGGAACGGTGGATGTCAGATGTGGAAGATTGGCGCATTGAGGAAGGAGCGAGAGAATCGCGGAGAAAAGTCGGAGGTCATGTCTCCTTATTTGGGAATTTTGCTGTGGTATTTTGGCAACGTGCAAAGCCGTTTCCAAGGTGGCCCGAAGCAAGCGGACATGTTGCCGCGTGAACGGTTTCAGTCGGCTGATAAATGTCGGGGGGGCATAACCTGAGCTGGCGCCTCGCTGCAAAGTGGCATCTAAAAACTGTGGGAATGGAAAAAAAATGGTGAGGCGTGTACCCGGAATGAGGGCAACCGGTTGTCCCTGCCGCGTTTTGAAGTGCTCAATATGTCTTTTTTGATATTTGGGGTAATGTTGTCATGAATGATGACGAATAATGACCAATGTGGCAATCTCGGGGAAAAATATTGCCCCAAATGACCTGTAGGAGCTGAACACGTTGACGTTGGAACGGTTTGAATCGACAAAGTCAGGTTTTCGATTTGGAAAAGGCTTCCCATTCATAGCAAGGGGAATTTGGGGAAATCGTCAGCACCACGTCCTGAATGAGCCCGATATCGAGTTTGAATCGGTCGAGAAATGCCCAAGGACAACCAAAAAGGCGGAGACTAATCATCACAAGAAAGAATATTTGTTGGCACAATAAAAAGAAACACCTTCAATGCGCGTCCATCTGCTGTCCAGATGGAGAGGTATAAACACGTCGGCGGCGGGCACGCGCTTCCCCTGGCTGCTGGCGAGGGGGAGGAGGGCGGGGGGGGGGTTTTGGGTCAGAGCCGCCCGACAATAAGCACACTTTTTGCTTTGCTCGACAAAATATTGTATAATGTCTCATTAAGCTGATTAGCGGCGCTGCCTGGTAACAGCGGCGCAATCATCAAAAAAAGAAAACAGAAGACGGCGGCCAGGATGAGGAGGAGGAGGCCAAATTTGTTTTTGGTGAGTCAGTGGGAGCCGCTCGGAGAGAAGAGCGCAGCCTTGCTGCTCTTCCTTCCAGGGCGCAAACAGGAATCCCGCTCGGTTCTTTTTCAGCAATGACACGGCCCTTCTCCGGATTTTCCTCGCTACATCCTGCGCAGACGACATGTCAGCTAACGGCCCTAACGAACGCTCCAGTGTCAACTCGATTGTCGCACAATTGGGTTGTGCCGTTTTGTTTTTGGGAGGAGGTGGGTGGGGGTGGAGTCCCAAAAAGGCTGCTTTTTGAAACAAACGGCATACGGGCCATTCCGCCAAATTGGAGCCTTTTGCGTTCCCCACCAAGCGGAATGTAGAAATGAGAGATGAAATCAAGTGTCAAACAGAGTTAGAAGCAAAGCAAGTTGATCCGTCACATATTTAATCAACACAATTTCAAATATTGAAATGACCTTCATAGGAAAATGGAGATCCTGTTGCAACATTTCCGAACGACTTTGCTGTGTGTGTTTCCAAACGATTGTCAACATACAGAACAACCCCCCCCCCAAAAAAAAACAAAAACAAAGAGACAAAGCTGCCCCCCCCCCCCCCCCACCACAATCTTTTGTTCACACAATCCTCACTGGGTGTTGACAAATGCGTTTCAAAGTGCAGTAGAAACAATTTGACGTATCAGCCGAGTCGATTGACTGAGAGAATATTAATACTTGCATTATTATTATGATTGTTAGAGAGCATGGGGTCGAAACTTTGGAGTACGGGCCTGTGTGTGTGTGTGTGTGTG